AGGCGGCGAGCTCAGCCCGGCAGACTCACTACCTGAGTCTCAGAGTGTTGTAGAGCAGCCCCGATACAAAATGGGGTGCCTGACTGTGGGTCCTGACCCGCGCGCTTAAAAGGACTTATCAATGCTCTACTGCAGGCACACGCGAAAGGTTAATAGAAGGGTTATTTACAAGGGAAGGGGAATGAGGAGATGTACAGCTCAGGGGGAAAAGTGGGAGACAAAGTTTTAAATGCGTCCTACCCGATCCGCCTATCAGGAATCCCAAAATGGCGCTCTGAGAGCTGGCCGCCAGCCAGGAGCCGTGAAGCCAGGAGGCGAGCGATCGCGAGCCAGAGAGAGAGCCCAAGGCCCACGTGTTTGGTTTTTTATATCCAACCTGGCTGCCCAACTCCACCCTCAGGTCCCAGCCACCCTCCCTTGGTGGTGATGGGATTTGTCTTTCCCAGAGTCTTGATGGCTTTAGTCTGGAGTGGGGGTGGAGTCCACAAAGCCTGTATGGGATTAGCTCAGGACATCACTTCCCCCTAACAAGAGCAACCCTTCAGAAAGCAGGGAGGAGGCTGCCTGTAGGACAGAGCTGCTAACTCAGGGCCGTGGTGGTGAGGAGAACACTGAAACATCGCGGTTTCCATGCGTAGCCACCTGTATCTCTAAAATTCCCCCCTTTCACTGTCCAGCATGAACAGTAACAGAGTGGGCAACTCACGGGAACTTAGAAGATGTGTTTACACAAGCAGAGGCCTGTGTGAGGAGGGGAGAGTTGGGGGTCTCCCTGGCCCTGGGGCAGATGGAGTCTAGGACCCCAAGGACAGAGTTGCCCAGAACAGCAGACCCATTAGAGCTCCGAGATGATGGGAGCCTGGAGGATTCTGGGCTTAGGGTTCCCTGTGCTCAGGATGTAGCAAGGGCTCCTTCATCCTCCATGATGGGGTGGGGGATTCCCTCTGGGATCAATTTCCCCTGCATCTATCACTAAAATCACTGTAACAGGACTGGGGTGGGGGCCACATTTTCTGTTTTCCCAGAATTGATGACTAGGGCCTGAATCTATGAAAAAGAGATGCTAAGCAGCCCGTGTCTTAAAGAACACCAAGTGGGGACCTCACACCCTCCCCATTTGAGACTTGAACTCTGCAACTAATCACTCTCCACCCTGGCACCCCAGTCCATAAAAGAAGATTGGGGAAGAGGTAGGAGGGGAGGAGCCAGTTTTACTGGATGCTTCCTCTCTTGTCCTCCTGGAGGCTGAAAGAACAGAGCGGCCTGGAGAGAATCTCTCTGAGGGGTTGGGCTGGCTTCAGACCTGGCATCTCATTTCCCAGACGGCTATCGGGAAGCGGCAGGCTTCCCGATCAGCCTCCTCTTCCCAGTGAAGCAATGGGGAGATATGGAGAGAGACACCGGGCAGGAGAGGAGGCACTGAGGACCAACCACACCCCATCACTTGAGTGGCAAGGATTGTGCGTGAGTTTCCCAGGGGTGAATGGACACTCCCAAGGGAGCCAGGCATAGCCACATTACGGGCATGAACTACCAAAGACAGGGTCCTTAGAAAAAAGTGGATGTGGGTGTATTGGTCAAGGCAGCGCCAGACTTCCCACAGAGAGGCAGCGGGAGGCCCACCCAGGACCCTGCCTGGGCCCTGCCCCAGAGTCAGCATTTGCACAGCTGCCGGCCATTGGAGAAATCAGTGCTAATCTGAGAAGTCGCCGTGAGGGGTGGAGAGAGCTCAGCCATGGTCTGTAAAGGGCCCTCATGGCTGCCCTCCTTCCCGCCCCATCACCTCAGAAGAGTGGAGTCAGGTCAGAGGGAGGAGGCCTTGCCTCAGAGCTGACCTTCGCCTGCTGCTCTCCCCCTCTCTGGGAGACAACTCAAGATTGGGCGGGGGAGGGGCCCATCCAGCTGTAACCTGGAGTCTCATGACTGGGTGGAAGTGAGCCTGTAGACAATGGGAGTAACCGGGAGTTATGGGGGCGACCCGGGTGGGCAGAGGCACCTCCTCACTCCACAGTGGGGAAAAGACGCAGCAGAGTCCAGGTGAAAGTGATGACTGCAAAGGAGAAGGTTCTCGTCTGCGCCCAGGATGCTGAGGTTCCTGACATCACTAGCCACTATTCGCAGCCAGTTCTCAAGCCCCAGGAGCAAGGTGAGGTGAGCAGGGCCTTCGTGACCTGACAGTAGCCTCCAGGAGGGAGGCGGAGAGCTCCCAGGAAAGGCACGCTCACCCTCTGCTTTACTGAGGGGGAGACTCATAAATGTGATAGTGCCTCAGAAATAATGTACAAAAACACACCATGTAAACTGTGAAAAACAAGTCTTTTTGTTCCTGAATAACGAATGTAAAAAATTGCAGATTTTTAATCAATGTAGAAAAAAGCACAAAGATAAATCTATGCTGTGAGTCAGCAGAGGGGCCACCCACTATAGCTAATTCTATTTCTGGGCACTTAGCAGCTGTCTTTGAGTTAGGTGGGGGCCACATGATTTGCTTTAGTCATTGAAATATGAGCAAAGTGACATATGTCACTTCCACAGATGGAAGCTTGAAGAACCACAGAGCAATTTACCATGTTTCCTTTTCCCTGGCCTCCACAACCAGGGAGGATGCGGGGGGGGGGGGGGGGGGGGGGGGGGGGGGCGGCCCAAGCCTGGGTTCCTGGGTGAGGCCAACGAAGACATGCGCCCCCTGCTGGCATATTGTGAATATGCTGCAGGAGTGAGAACACCTTTGTGATTTAAGTCCCCGAGGGTGGGGTGTATGTTACCTGGTCCCTCCTGGCGCTTAGGAGTATTTCAGCAACATGCTGAGTGTGAAGGGACCACACCCAAGGGTTCAGGTGATGTGAGTGATCAGGTTGCCCTAGTCCAGTTCCACATAGCGGATCCTGGGCCATTTGCTGGAGTCAAAGTGTTGTTTAGGAAGCCGCCAAACACAGGGGCCTTCAGAGAGAGAGTCCTTGTCAGAGGACAAAGGGGTAGGGCAGAAAGTGAAGAAGGGCTGAGGCTGCATTGAGAAGGTGTTTGTTGGGGGTAACACAGAAGACTAGAAGGAATGGTACACGGGTGCGTTGGGAAAGGAAATTCTATGGGGACTACACCTGAGGGCATGGGGAATGCAACTATTACTTAAAAATGAACAATGATGTATAAAATAAAAAATAAAAATAATTTTTTTTTTTTAAAAAAAGAAGGCATTGGCCAGAGTGCTCACCTAGAGTTGACAAGAAATGACAAGAGATACCTGTGTCTCATGCCAGGCACTGGCATTCAGTAGGAAGGCATCCAGCCATGGCCAGTATGCTTCTCCACAGCAACTCAAGAAAGTTCAGGATGGGGAGGAGGAGAGGTCCAGGCCCAAGGGCTGTAAATTTGATTGAGTGGCGCTGCATGAATACATCCTCGAGCTTCACCTGTCCCCATCTGCACAGGGGAACTGAAGTCAAATGGGAAGACCAGGGCTCCTGGGAAGATGAACATTCTCAGTGGGCTTCCCTGTGGCCTTGTGGGTCATTCAGGAACTAGGCAGTATAAGGCCAGATGACCAGTTAGACTATCTCTGGGGAGTTTCCTGTCCCACCCAGATGTCCTTGGAAACCAGGGGTGAACACAGGCTTTGGGGAGCCCTTCTCTGACAGCCTCACATGGGCTAAGTTGCCCAACCTTGTGTCGCCACATCCCAGTTGAAAATACCCTGTCTTGCCTTCCTCACAGATGCTAAGCAGGCACAGGGTGAAGGAAGAAACAAGTGGATCTTTTACTTTTACTTGGTGGCTACTGTCCTTGGAGAAAGCAAATGGCCCTGCATTCGAGTGTGAGCTCAGAACCCCAATCCCCCAGGCTATCTCCCCCTAAATGCTGGGTGAACCCCAAGTCCCCCAGTGAGCTCCTTCATTTCTCTCACCCCACTCTTTGGAGTCTAGGATAGGTGTCTACAAATTAGTGTTCTTAAATAAGGCCCTAAAATGCACTCACAGTTAAATGTGATGACCAGGAGCCAAGCCACACAGGAGGAAGATGATTGCTGTTCTGGCTTCTCCAGGAAGGCATCCACAAGTGGGCAGAGCTCTGGGTCTGGGCTCAGATCACCCATGGGTGACTGTTGGCCCAGCTGGGTGGCACCCAGCAAGTCACTGAACTCTGAGTCCAAACCTGAGACACCTGTCTCAAGGCCCATGGTGTGTTGGATGTGATGAGACCATGGACACGGTGGGCCCAATGTGGCTCTGAGGATATGTGGTTTGTGTGACCCTTCTGGAGGTTGGACCTTTTCCCAGGAACGCTTAGCTGGAGAAAGGTCTGGGGTGGAATTGTTCAAGGAGAATTACCTTCTGTTCACCTGCAAAGGACAAGAGGCAAAAGAAAACTAGAGGAGGTTCTCAAGTGGGGGCTTAGGAGGCCATTTACAGGGAGCTACGGGTGGGGAGAGGGGCAAAAGGAACAGAGGCCAGTATTGCTGGAAAACATCCAGAAACCCTGTCCCTGCTGCCAGTTCCCACCTGAAGTCTTCCCGTTCTATCAACCAGACCAGCAGCCTCCAGCTGAGTATCAACTGTACAAAACAGGGGCACAGACAGCATGAACCTCCTGGGGAGTCTTCTTTCCGTCTACAGCTGCTTCCTAGCCTGGGATTCTGCAATCTGAATTATGGCCAACGTGCCCGCTCCTACCAGCCTGATGCCACGGGAAGACTGTTGCCTGGCACTGTCCCCAAAGAGATGCTCTGGGGGCTCAGCTGTTTGGGCAGAGGTGAGAGAGGAAGACAATAAACTGGGCATAAACTTTGAAGGTGAGGGCCAGGGATCAGTGTCCTCAGGGTAAAGGAGAGTGCCACCTCGTGGCCACCTCGTGGGTACCCTTCTTAACTAGCAACTCGAACTTGGAGCATCTGTGCAGCGAGTACTCAGATTGGATTGCCGTTGGAAGCCTGGCTGAGTAAGCGTCTCAGGAAATGAAGCCTTTCCATCAGAGGAACCCACCCAAGGAAAAAGGCAACATCCACCCAGGTTTATCTATTTTTATTTTTATAAAACAAGCTACAAATCATCTCCCTCCCTCCACACAAAGGAAAACCATACCACACAGTCTACACACACATATGAGGCAGAAGATGCCTGGGGAGATTCTGAATTTCTACAAGGAGGCACTTCCTCTACTTCCTCTGTGTTTTGTGCTTGCTCCAGGCCAGAGATGGGGCTGGAATCTTCTGGAAGGTATGTCAGCTCCAGCACACTGAGTTTTCTGGTCCAGGTCTCACCATGTTGGAAGGGGCCTCCAGTCACCAGGGAAACAACCTCCAGGACTTTCACCAAATAGCAAGCACCTTCCTCTCCAGCCCGAGCTCCATCAGATCATGTCCTGAGGAGCCACACCCGCCAGTGGGGCACACTCCAAAGCAGGGTCTGGGGAGGGAGGGGGCTGCTGCTCATAGCACCAGTATCTCCCAGTCCTGAAAGGGGATACACCGTCTGCCCAGGTGCATGTGCTTCTGGGAATACTGAGGCGAGACCACGCTGAGGCCAGGCTTCCAACGGCAATCCGATTAGGATGCCAGTCCGGGCAACTTCAGCCCCAGGGAGGCCTCCAAGGCAGCTCGTGAGAAGAGGTGCTACGGTCACTGGTCGCTCGGGCAGGAGGTGTCTGAATGAGCACAGTCCCCTGGGCAGAGGAAGCTGCACATCTGTCTTGAAGGCTGGGCAGCCCTGCTGGAGTCCTGGTGAAACGTCTGTTGCAAGCTGGGCCTGAATCTCCCCATAGCTGGGTTATTGGCCCTGCACTTTTAAGGGGGACAGAATAGGAGGCCCAAGATCAATTTTGCTTCTGGAATTGGCCTTAAGCCTGGATGCCAGTGAGAAGATTTGAGGGAACAGAAAGAACCGCAGTATTGGGTTAAAAGAAACATAAAATCGTTGAGTTACCAACACGGTGATCAACTCAGCTCCTCCCTCCGACCAGCGATGATGGCTGGGGAGAGAGAGGAGGGGCGCGGTGGAACAGCTCTGACTCAGGCCTGAGAGGGCCACATCTCAGGAAGCCTCAGGGGTGGCTTTGCCAGAGGTGAGAAGTCTTCCTGTCTCGGCACTGACTCACAGGCTTCCCGGCCTCTTGCTGGCTACTTAAAATAGGCAGTGTCGCTGAAATAAAAGGCCTCACTGTGTGCCTTTTTCTTCTTTGCTTCCCCCTCGTGATTTACAGAGTGGATGCCAAATGGGTGAGAATGTTTCAATGGACTAAGTGCAAACCCTCTAAGGATAATTTGCTAGCATAGTGGTGGCCCCACCAATTCTGAGCCACCTGAAGGTCAGGAGACCAGGAGCACCTGGGCTTGGGAGAGCTGTGCGTGCAGGCTGTGCCCTCCCTTGGGGCAGCTCCATCTGTGGCCCAGAAGGCCAACCGTGAGATGACCCGCCAGCCACACCCCAGGAAGCTCCTCCACCACACAAGACCCGATGGAGTCTGCGGATAATCACAGAATTCCCCCAGATGCACACCTAGTCCAGGTGGGCTGGGCGAGGCCTGGGTTCTAGAAAGTTGGGCCAGAGCCCCCACAGCCCACAGCAGGGACAGGGAGGAGAGTAAACCAACAGTAATGCCAACACCTGTACAAAAGAACTATACAATTTACATATATATTTATATACAGTATATAAATCTCTTTCTTCTCAGTCCCAGCAAACCCTCCCCCCTGCAAAACAAAACAAACAAAAAAACCTAAAAGTTGTCAGTAGCAGATCCAAAGAAACTTACAATAAGAGAATAAACAGTCTTTCTTCCCTTTCCTTTCCCCACCGGTATTAGATATTGGTGTTTAAAAATGAAACCAAAAAGAAAACACGCAAATACGAATTATTAAAAGTGCAAACACGTTGGGCACCACTTATGTTACAGGGGATGCGGCTGGGCGAGGCAGCGCCGAGGTTGGGGTCGTGAGCCATCCTGTATCTCTGGTCTCTCCACCTGCCCTTGGGCTTCCTGCTCCTTAGACGAGGCGGCCTACTGAGAAGGGAGGTATAAGCAAGAGGAAGTCACAGTTGGCTTTATGGGAAATTTGACTACACAGAGCAACGTCCCCACCATGCCAGCCTTTTCTACCTGCTACTTGATATGGGACTGGGGGGACCTGCGTAGTCTAGATCTGCATAAGCCCAGGTTTCACCAGCTCTTGGTTTGCCACCAGGAGACATTACAACGGGAAGTGAAACAAGTCTAGCATTTCACTCAGAGAACCAGAGGTGGTAAGGCAGCACAGCGGGGGTGTGCACCCCGCACAAAGCAGGATGCCAGCCTTTCAACATGAGAGCAGGCAGGAGGTGCCAGGTGCCTGTATTTAGGTGGGGATGGAAGGAGCCTCAGGGCACTAACCCTAATCTTTCACTTGTAATCAGGGAAATGCAAATCAAAACTACCATGAGATACCATCTCACACCAGTGAGAATGGCACATATTAAAAAAACTAGCAACAACAAATGTTGGCGAGGATGTGGAGAAAAAGGAACTCTTGTGCACTGTTGGTGGGAGTGCAAACTGGTCCAACCACTATGGAGAGCTGTGTGGAGATTTCTGGACCTACTAAACATAGAGCTTCCATATGATCCAGCAATTCCACTCCTAGGTATTTACCCAAAGGACACAGAAACATCAATTCCAAAGAACACCTGCACCCCTATGTTTATAGCAGCACTGTTTACAATAGCTAAGCTTTGGAAACAACCCAAATGCCCAAAAATAGATGACTGGATCAAGAAGATGTGGTACATATATACCATGGAATATTACTCAGCATTCTATTGTGTCTTTAGCAAAACACACTGAAAATAGGGATCTATTGTATGTCACCTGGCCAATAAATACTCCCACTCCCACTGCACCCCAAAGCTGCACAAGGGGTCCAAGAGGGGAGCCCAGAAAGAAGGCAACTTACTGAATGGGTTTGTGCCAGCTCGCTTTCCCTGGGGGAAGCTGCCAAGACTACCACCTGCAACAAATAGGAACATGTGACACTCAAGTGGCCTTGACCCACAGAACTGGTAGAGCTTCTATTTACCTGGGACCGTTTCCGCTGGCTTCCAGAATGAAGAATGGACTTGGGAAAGAGCCGGAGGTGGCTTGGCTGCCATCTGTTCTGTGGGTGTCGGTGGCCCTATGCTGCCTGGGTGACCCCATTGCTCATCAACACCTCTGAGCAAAGTCCCTTTTCTGTAAGACCGGGTCCCCTACTAGGGTGCCTCTTTGGAATCCTCAGCTATTGGCTAAGAAAGGATTTGGTGCTGATGGAATTTGTAAATCCTCCTCGAGTCCTGGCTCTCCAAGCCATAGAATGTCAGAGGTAGAAAGAACCTTAGCAGTCATCTGGTCTAACTGCTTGCTGGGCAAATGTGGGAACTACAAATCAGAGTAGTTGAGAGACTAAAACAAGGTTCCAGGTTCATTCTACTAACACCAGCTGACCCTCAGCAGACTGATGAGTTTTGAGGCTTCTGCAGGAACCAGAGCCCCAAAAGGAGGAGGGGACCGCTGGGAGAGAAGTGTGCAAGAGCTGGGCCAGCTCTGGGGACCCCTGGGGGCCACGTGACCTTGTGTGTACTCCTAAACCCCCCGATCAGCCTGTGGAACCAAGGAAACCACAGTGGCCAGCCCTTCTCTGCTGCTCTCACTGGACTGCTGTGAGAGAGGCTGAGGTCGTGCAGATGGAGAAGGAGCTCGGAGGAGGATAAAATACTGAGAATCTAGGTCTATCTGTGGGTCTTGTGAAACCTCAGCTCCACATTCCCTGTAAGGCCTGAGAAAGAGACACAGCATGGGATGGGGCAGGTTGGTATCGGCAACTTTACAGATGAGAAAACAAACTTGGAAATGTAGTGGGACAGCCCCGAGGCAGGCAGGTGGAAGGGGCAGAGCCAGGCTGTCGGCTCTGAATCCAGCAACTGCTTCTCTCAGTGGTGAACAGAAAGACCTGTGTGCAGGGACCATAGCACTCCTGCCCAGCAGGCTGCAAACGCACCTCCATTCTTACCTGTGCAGGTGAGCTAACCCCTTCACCATGTCACATCACTCAATCCTTGGCACAACTTTATATGTCAGAGATACAGTGATCAAATTATCCCCACTTATAGACGATGCAACTGAGACTTAAGAGAGGTCATTGCTTTTTGGTGGTGAAGCAAGCTTAGACCCAGCCATCTGCTTCCAGAACCATGTTTTAAGCACCAAGGAGAAGAGGGGACAGCCTGAACTGAGCACAGCTGGCAGCCCCAGGCAATTTGAAGAAAGAGTTGGCTTTTTTAAAAAAATGAAAGATCTATTCTGCAACCTGCCTGCCTCACAGGATGGTGACAATAATCGTGATGAAAGTGCTTCATAATCTGGGCAAAAACAGAGAAGAAAGAGGTCCAGCCTCTGGAACATCTGGTCTTTACTTGCTATACAGAGAAATTTGCTCCCAGGTGAGGAGTCTGGTTGGTTAAAAAAAATAAATAACTGTATTCATGAAGCATTTCCAAAAAATTCCAGCCCTCAGACCCAAAGCTACACCCATCCTTCAAACTCTGCATCCTCCAGGCCACCTCTCTGCCCCCTCCCAGCATGCAAGCCCCTCTGGGCCCACCAGAGGGCACCGCATGACACCAGATGACCTAGGCATGGGCTCTACTTACCGAGCACCCAAGTGGCTTCTCTGTCACTCTCCAGAGCAGACACTGCTGCCTTTGGCAGGTGTGTTCTTCTCTCCCTCACTTCATCACACACGCACACACACACACGCACACACACACACACACACAACTCGCCATGCACCCGGTATTAAGTTCTTCACAAGCACCATCTTGTGAAAGCTTCACACCAAATCTATCAGCAATAGATAGATAGCAGCAATCTCCATTGTCAGATGCGGAAACTGAGGCTCAAAGAGGTTAGATAACTTAGCAAAGATTGCAGGGCTAGTAAGGGACAGCACTGAGATTAAAAGCCAGGTTCATCTGACTTCAAGGCTCTGCTCTTACCTGCACCCCCAATTCCCCTGCCTAGGCTGTGGGCCCCGCGTCTCCCCTGTGCCTTGCACTTGTGATTCACTCTCTTGCAGGCACCTCCTGCCTGGAAATTAGGGGTTTCCCCTCTGAACGTGCTGGCAGTTTCCTGCCCAGCAGCTTCTACCCACACCCAAGCTAGATCTGCTCCCCTACTTCTCTGACCTCACCACTGTCCTAACCCCCTCGGCCTTTCTCAGGAAGCAAGACCGGCCTGCTCACACAAGGACCGTCTTCAAACACTCTGGGTCCTTGTGAGGGGATGGCAGTCTGGTTGGGAACCCTGATGCCCGGTTCAAGCGCCAGCACTGATGCTGCCTCCCGTGTGACCTTAACAAACTGCTATCCCTCCTTAGGCTGCGCTCAAACCCTTGGCTGCAAATATGGGCAGCGGGACCTGAGGAGCCCCCAGGGCAGTGTGCCCTGTGGTGGGCATAGATGGGGGAGAAGAGAGAGTAATAGTGCTCCAGTTAAGTCTACCCTAGCCTCCCCCACCCCATCTTCCTTCCTCTCTCTCTCACTCCATCACACACACACACACACACACACACACACACACACACACACACACACACACTCTCTCACGCAGACTTCGCACGGTTAATATACACATAGACACAGGCTTCCACACGGGCCACAAACACACATGTAGATGCAGATGTGCGTAGAGACTTGTGCGTGCACAAACACATGCAGATGTCTATCAACATGCGCACACGCACCAGCCACACACACACACACACACACATTGCCAAAACCTGTCCCCAGCTGAGCCTGGGCTGAGGAGGAACAACTGGATGAGCAGTGCCCCCAAATCTGGTATTCTAGTTTGCACATTTCCTGGCTGATTCCCTTAGGCCCTGTGCACTGGAAGACCCCTGGGGGCTGGCACGGCTTCAGAGGAAGGCCTCCCTGAGCGCCATGGACCTGAGGTCACCACCCTCAGCCTCCCCTGACTCCCCTGTGCCAGGCAGACCAGAGCTACCAGTGTGGGGGACAGAGGGCAGCGCTGCTGCAGGGCTCCGAGACTGTAGCCCCTTTCAGTCCAGAAGCGCACCTGGGTAGGCCTGGGGTCTACACCAGCACTGGGAGGGCTCTTTCCAGTACTCAGAGTGTGTCAAAGCTAGATGTCACCACACGGGGCAGCCCCATCATCCACTCGTTCTCTCATTTGAGAGGACTTCATGAACTACTGCTAAGAGCGGGTACTGTGGCTACAACGGAGAATACACAGTCCACAGTTCACAGTTCAAGGGAGACCTGGAAAAGTAATGGCAATAGTGTAATACGTGCTACTGACAGCGGCAATCATCTCCATGGACTGAGTGTCTCCTCCACAGACTATGTAAGGACCTCATCCATCAGCTCATCCATCAGCTCCCCCACTGCATCAGGCCTCTAGCAGGAAGCACACCACACCCAGAAAACCGTGCAATAAACGAGCACCCAGGGCCTTACAGAGGGTGCCCTTGGCCTCTGTGCAGAAGCGGGTGGGGGAGGCAAGGAAGGCCAGGAGCACAGGGGCAGACACTTACCTTCTTTACTGACACCCAGGCAACCCTTCAGCTCGGGCAGTGAGATGACCTTGTCCTTGTTCAGGTCACAGTAGTCGGTGAAACGCCGGGCACATTTCTTGGGCTTAGCTTTCTTCTTCACATAGCGCTTGAAGGGCTTCATCTCCCGCTTGTTAATGTCATTGCTGCTGTTGCTGTCCAGCTGGCTGAAGTACCAGTGCACCACTCGCTCCTCCAGGGTGTGGCTGGGGTCCGGCTCTGAGAACCTGGCGTGGGCAGACACCCCCACCCGGGAGAACACAGCTCAGCATCCTGCAGGAACCACCAGCCCCTTTTGGTTCTCTCTTGTGTTCTGATGCCAGGGTCCTGATCTGGGATGCCCGCAACCAGGCAGGAAAGGCTACTCCAAGCCAAAGACCTCTCAGCCCTACTCAGCCTACAGCAGACTAGAGTCATCTCTTCGGCTAGAAATGGGGCGGTCCATTTCTTGGGGGTCTGCAAGTAGGTGGCCCTTATGACAGGAACCTGCCCCATCCTTACTATAGTCAGGAACTTTCTAATTCACTCGAGAAAACTACTTTGCGAGTCCAAATGTCATTATCCTGGCCTAGTATTCCCTGCCAGACAAACTGCACTTCACATGTGAATGTAACTATGGGTAGGAGTTCTCTTGCCCACCTGGGGTCCCCCCCACAAGCAGGAGGTGCCATTCCTGTCCTCAAGTGGCTCACCAACTTGGTGAGACCAAGATAAAAACATGATGCCAGGCAGTAACGATTCAATGTGAAGTGTGATGTTACCATGTCTGTCACTGTCACATCCAAGTGCAGTGATAACTGGGAGGAGGTGGTTGGGATGGACACAGTGATTCTAAAACTGGCGGGTTCCAGGCCTATTAGGAGTGAGTCTTCACAGAGGGTTTAAGTCAGGAGACCTGCAGTAGGCCCGGATGCCATGTTTCCTAGAGCCACCAGGATTCTGCTGGGGAGCAGCAGACTAGCAAGAGTCACCAAGAATGCACCCTGCTGTGGGGAAAAGAGTCATGAGTGGCTTCCTCTTTGGTGACCAAAGAGGGGAAAGAGGAAGGTCTCTCTGTGTGTAACTGCACACGCGTGGCCTGCCTTCCCATTTTATTCCCGTAAACCCTATCTTTTCTCAAAATGTATTTGATTTTTTTTAAAGATTTATTTATTTATGCATACAAGAGCTGGGGTACATGTGGCCAGAGGTGTGGGGGGTGAGAGACAGAGTGGGGAACAAAACAGGCAGATTGACCAAAGTACACTGCTGAGGGGAGCAGCAGGCGAGACAGGAGAGGTCTGCCTTGCCATGTGGGTAGCTCCCTGGCTGGCCAGGGATTGAATTCGTGCTGCAGAGGCTGCGGATAGCTTCAGAGTGCTGTGCTTAACCCCTTGCGCCACCAGGGAGGCCCACTGTATTTGACTTTTAAAGCCAGTTACAGGTGTGTTCCCAAAGGGGTGCCCAGGATGTCTGACCAGACCAGAGTCGCAGGGAGCATCTGTGTGGCGCCTGTTCTTGGGGCTTGGCACTGAGTGAGCCTGGTCCAGGCCCTTGTGTTCAAGGGGCATTCTTCCCTGGTGGGGGATGAAGGCAGAGATTGGGAGTCCCAAAAATACAAATACTTAGTTGCAGGGCACAGGGAGATGATGAGACCAGCAAGGTCAGAAGTGAAGAGTGAAGAGCTCCCTGTTCCACAGAAGTTCTAGACCAGGCGGGCAGGCCTGTCAGCACATTCTGAAGCAGTACCTGGCAAGAAAACTATTCGAACCACTTGCCAATCCCTTGGTGTTCTCTGGGATTTGCCAAATTTTCCAGAAGGGAGGGAGGGGACCATCTCTACCCATTCCTTATGAACCAACCCAGCAAACTCCCTTCTCTTGTTGCACCCAAGTGACCTTGTTTAGCGAAAATGACGTTTCGTTACCAAAAAAAAGCCAGACATCCCTGCGAAGTGCCCAGTCCTAATTAACTGAATTGCAGTCTCAGGCAGGCCCCTGGGCACCCCATACTGATGTGATTCCAAGACAGCGCAATTAGTGGATCTGCCAGCAGGACTTCATCCTGACAGGTTTAAGGCAGGGAGTACTTGGGTAGGTGTGAGGGGGGCAGTCCGCCTGCCTCGGGCCCTCTGGCAATCTGTAGTCTGTAACAGAAACCAAGCTCCGGAAGCCATTGACAAAGGTGTGGAGTATTCATGCAGAGCTCAACTTTTTATCTCTGCCAGTACAGGGGATTTTGGAGTTTCAAGCTTCCTCTATGTTATTTGCAACAGTCACTCTCAAGTCTGCCCCTGCAGGGTACACCAGGGGGGCAGCAGAAAAATCTCTTAGGAGGTTCGCTGCAGTGCAAGAGGGAGGCTGGCCTGCTCGGTGGTTACCTCTGCCTTCCCCTCAGGGTCAGGGAGGATGCAGGCTGTGGAGGAGAGCCACCCCGGAGGAGCCCCAGGGGAGGGCACCAGGTGCTCCCAAGGAAGCCTCTCTAAGGCATCAGGAGGTCCCCCTCTCACCCCTTGGTTCCAGGAGAGCCCCAGGCACAGGCAGCTCTTCCTTTAACCTTTAGGCTCAGCATAGCGTAATGTCTACCTAGAGACTGGAATAATAAAGCCTCAGTCCCTGGGATGGAAGGGATGAAGTCATTCCGCCCAGACGCCCTGCCAGAGAAGGCGAGCTGCCTCCAGCCTGTGTTCCCGGGCTCCCTCCTGTCCAGTTCTCAGCAACTCCATTGATGGAGCTCCTGGCCAGACTTGGGTTAGTCTGCAGCAAGAAGGCGCTCTTCTCCCCGCTTTGCAACCTCTGGGGAGTGACAGTCATTTGACTTCAGCTCTCTCCCCCCTCTTTTTCTTCTCTCTTCGGACCCTGTCATCCTGGTCCAGTCCTGCATTCCTCACTGCCAGTAGGACCTGGCAGCCCCCACTTTCAGCTACCGGTCTTGCCATCTTCCCCAGAATCCGTCCTCCACAGCCCCTCCAGACAAGGCTCCCTATAACACGCCACCACCCAGAGCCTCCCTGTGGAGCCCCTCCGAGTGTCCTGCACCTCCCTCCTTCATCTCCAGCTAGCACAGTGTTCTCTGCTTCTGAACTCCTCGGACCTCCAGAAACCCATCCCCCATCCCCAAATGAAGCTGGGTGAAGCTGGGTGGCACCAGGATCCTACTTAGGAACCCAATAACTTGTGCTGGCCAACCTCCAAGTACATTTAAAGCAAGAATTTCTTAGCTTTGGGGGATCATGGACCCTTCTGAGAACCTAAACTAGTTATTATCCCTCTCTCAGAAAAAAGCACATACACACAGAACTCTGCAGATTTAGGGGGCTTAATGTACTCTTTAAAGATCATCCAAAGTTCATGAACTGAAGTAAAAAATCCTTGATCTAGAGGGAAGAAGACGCTAAGTATGGCCCAGAAGAATGTTCAAGCAGGACCCTTTCTGGAAGGAGATGAAATAAGACAAAAAACAGTAACTGGGATGGGCTTGGAGTGGTTTCTTTACTTCCAACAAAGTTTAATAGAAAAAGAAAACTACTGAAGGTATCTGGTTTAAAACCCTGTAAATTGGGTTTCTAGCTTGGCCAGTCTTTTTTTTTTTTTTTTTTAAAGATTTATTTATTTATTTACACAAGCACTGGGTACAGTCAGAAGCGAGGGAGGGTGAGAGGATTCACCAGAGCCAGAGCGGGGAACAGAACAGGCAGACTGACGAAATACACTGCTGAGGGGAGCAGAGGGCATAGCAGGAGAGGTCTGCCGTTTCATGTGGGACCCTCGCTGGCGGCTGGGGATTGAACCAGTGCCGCAGAGGCTGCGGGCAGCTTCGCAGCCCAGCGCTCAACCGCTGCACCAACAGGGGAGGCCCAGCCACAGTCTTCTGGCCAGCTCTACCAGGCTTTAGACAATATCTAGTCAGGACTGAGGTCGATCATGAGTCCTGTTTAGCCAGACAGCAGTGGGTGTATGTGAAAGGACATACCAGAGACCCCTGTGAACTAAGGTCAACTCAACTTCCTGGGGGGACTGCTGGATGTGGGTGGGACAGGAAGCCTCCCTCCTACCCCTCACCCCCAATCCCTCAAACAATCTTTGCTGGAGTCCTTTGAGGTCATCCCTGACCTCAGAGTCACACCCCACTGATTCCTCTTGCTGTGACAGCTTTCTAGAAGTATCCTTTAAAGACACTGACAGCTCTTACTCCAGCTCTAGGCTTTCACTGGCTCAAACTTCCAGGCTTTTGATATGTGCATAGAAACTGGAGTCGGGACAGCTGGAACTCAAAACTGCTCATCAAACAAGGGCTGGAACCCTAACTTAGAGGGTGTAATGGTTCCTTAAGGCCACTTAACTGTGATTTGTTGGTCCATGGGTGCCTCCTCGGGCTGCAGTGCCACTTCTGCTAAAAGACTCATGGGGTAGGTATAATATTTAAGTTTTCTTGGATATGGTGTGGAAAGACACACCCAGAGGATACCAAATTCCAGCTTTTAGAATGTACTTCAGTAACACACTGGTGTCTGTCCTGCCTCTGCCTGTTGTGGTGCTTTCCTGTTCGCTCCCGCCTCCAGGGATGAGAAAACCATGAGAGCCAAGTCCCTCCCCGGACTGGTCCCACGGAGTCTTCTCCCAAGTGAAGAGGTGGCAGGTGCCGCCCTGCTCCTGCAGCACTTTCAGTTTTGCTTCTGCAGCCCCAGCCCTGCCAGGCCTTGGCTGCAACGCACAGCTGGAGAGCCAGCCCCATTTACCACAAGGAAACTTGCTTTGGCCAAGATCTTGGACCCAATTCTGCTGCCCCAAGCAGTTTTAAAGAAGGTGAGGCGGGACGGCATGAGGGCACTTGCCAAGCTAAGCAGACCAACCGAGCCCCATCTGGAGTTGGGTCCAGGCCCTGCCAGCTGTACGGGTGGGACTGGGAAATGCCAAGTCAGCCACATTCCAGCCTCTTCCTAGCAAGGCCATCAACAAGTAACCGCACTGGGCAGGAAGTGAGAAGCCACAGTACAGATGGTCTCTCTTTGGGGGACCAGATGAGGGGCCAGGAGACTCCGACAGCCCACTGCACCTCTCTTCAATGTTGACTGGATTAGGGAAGGTAGAGCAGGAGAGGGTTCTCCTGCTCTAGAAAGCTCTCTCAACCAAGATCTCAGAAATCTTCCTTTGGGCTGACAAATGCCAGTGGATGTTAAAGGAGAGCAGATCTAAAGGGGTAAGGGGAGCTGTCTGTCTCCTGGAGCCCTGGCGTGAAAGGCCAAGAGGATATTACAAACATCTGACACACCACTGAGATTGGTTATCATCCTCCAGCCTGTGCCCTACCCTGCTCTAGCCACAGGTATGTCCATGGACACCCCATTCTTCTTTACCTACTTTGGAGGCACTGCTTTTCAACACTAAGTAGTTGAGGAGGCCAGAAAAGAAAGTAGACAGCCTTTTCTCCACTTCCTGCATCTAACAAGCTTCCAAATCTTATTGATTCATAACTAAAGCTTCAGTAGATTCTCCCTTCCTATGACCTTAGCCCCTGCTCTCCCAGCCCTTTACTCTGCCGCTGCTATAACCCTCCTGCCCTGTCTTGCTCCCCTCCCACCCAGCTTCCATTGGACCGGCAGGGTGTTTCTTAAAAAAAATGCTCATCACATGGTTCCGTGTTGCAAGCTTTGGCATGAATCACAAGGCCAGACATGATCTGGACTCTGCTCAACTTGACAGCTTCGTCAACTGCCTGTCCACAGCCTGCCTCCCAAATTGAAACCATACTTCTTACAACTCCTTTCACTGGCCCTCCCTCACTCCTACCTCACTGGTCCAGCTAAGTCGGGCATTTTCCCATATATGAAGATGGGACCCAGATATCACCTCCTAGGTAAAGCCTGCCCCCACCCCCCTTCCATCCCCTGTCCCTGCAGCGCCTTCCCTGCCTCTATTATCACACTGACCGCACAGAACAATCACGTTGCATTATGATTATAATTTATTATTATAGAGCTCTTCTCTTCTCCCAATCACACCAGGAAACCTGACCATTTCCCCGTATGTCCCCAGAACCCAGCACACAGCTTACACCAGTGGGGAGTGGAGACTTAAGAGTGCGCAAAACCAAAATTTGCACTTTAGGCCCATGGCAGGTTGGGGGGAAAACACCCTTTTTTCTGGACTGCCCCAAATATCCTCCCTGTTCTTCTTCTCCATGTCCCCAAGTGGGATTATTTTCCACTGGCCCAAGCTGATGTCCAGCTTCAGTTGCCAGACACAAGAGGATGCAGGAGGGATCAGATGTGGCCTCCTTGACCTTGTTCCTGCAACCTCAACTCTGCCCGAATTCAGAACCAAGGCCAAACCCCAGGAAGAGTGGACTCCCTAACTCTCTTCATCAGCCCTGCTGCAGACGTGCTACCCAACCAACCCCCGCCTCCTCCATCAAAGCTGCATGCCTGGCCAGAGTCTGACCTCACATCGTCCTAAGTCCCTCAGGCCCAGATGGGGTCCTGTAGCAACCTGGTGATGACGAGGCACCACGGTGAACTCCATAGTGGGTCTGGCCTCCAGTTTAGTCTCACAGTAGTTGGGGGGCCCTTTGATATGTGCCGAGATCTCAGACATCCTCTCTGTATATGGCAGGGGTCCATCCATCCATCTCACCATCTACCCCTCTACTGAAGTCATGGAAGAAATATTTAGTGAGCACTGATGATGGACCAGGCACTGTTCTCACTTCTGGGAATACAGCAGGGAAGGAGGTAGAAAATGTTCCTTTCCTCATAGAACTTAAAGTTTCATTGCATCGGGTGAGACTATAAGTAAAGCAAGCAGCAAAGTATCAGATAGTGATAAGAGCTGGCTGAGACTTAAAAAGATGTGTCACAGTAAAGGGAGGCTGGGCAGCTGCCTTCAGGGGGGTGGTCACTGAGAAGGTGACCTCTAGCTGGGCAAGCAGGGTCAGTCACAGGAAGATGGGGCAGCCCTCTCTGTCACTAGGGCCCTCTCCCTCCGGGGTGAAGGGGCAGCTGGCATGGAGACCCTGGACAGGTGAGAGTTTGGCCTGTTGGAGGAACTGAAGACCAGTGGCTGGTACATCATGCTGGGAGGGCGAGCAGGTGGGGAGGCCAGGCTTTAGGGCCAGTTTCAGGGCCCACTCAGGACTTACTGTCAGTCTCTCGGGAGGTCTGGGAGGGCTTTAGACCAGGAAAACTGGCAACTTTGGACAGCTACCTCCCGTAGAACTGCTTCTCTCTTTTCCTGCTTCTCCCAGCCCCCTTGCAGATTTCTAAACTATTTCTTGGTTCATATCTTGTCTATCTTTTGATTACAAGTCCAGCCTCTGGGTAACGCAACCCCCAAATGCAGTTCAAACCTTTCATTCTCGTCAAAAGCGAACGCGGTCAAGCTAATATGAGCTTAAAATGAAAAACAGGTTTAGGAAAAAATACTTTTTCTAAACTTCTCCCAATTATATTACACTGAAAAAGAGAAGGTTTTTTTCTTTTTTCTTTTTTTTTTAAGGGGAAAAAAAAAAGTCTCTTCCCTAAGGACATGCTGGTATTAAAAACATTTATAAACTTCTTAATTTTTATTTTCTGAAAAATCCCTTCAGCCTGCAATTCAAGAGCAATGCATCAACCTTAACTTCCCAGGGCAGTGGGTTTTATCTGCAATCTTGCCCACCCTCTCACCCCCAATCGACACCCCCTGCCCTGGCCCCTTATCTGCTGGTCCATGACTCAGCCAAGTTCCCTCCTTTGCCTGGACCCGCAGCATGCCTGGAGCCGAGGCCACACCGTGCGCAAGGGCTGGGCTCCCCAGAAGCAAATGGGACAGAGCTTGAAGTCCTGTCTCTTAGGAGTGAAGCACAAGCAGCAGGGAGGCACCCTGCCAGGCTGGTCAGAGCCAGCAGCCCTGGGGGGCACTGTGGGCGGCAAGCACCCAGAGTTTTTAAGCCCATGGCCCCTTTCTTTTCTTTTGCCCCCTCTCAGTTAATAAATATAAATATCGCATGCCCATTTTTGCATAAAAGGGATTTTTTTCATAGTCTAGGCTTAAAACATTATAAAGGCACACAATCCTGAATAAGCTTTTTCAAAATGCACACACACACACACACACATACACACAGGTGCTGCCTATTTCAGACACACCGCTGAGTACCGTGCATGCTGATTGCGCTCACAGACCTACTCCATCTTAGACTCAGTGTTGTCCATTTTCAAAAGGGGGCCTCACCCCCATTCCTAGAGGGAGCAAAAACAGAGGCACATCCAGACACCAGCCTCAGAGCTCACAGGACCCTGGAGTGCTGAGAGCCGGGACCCACAAGCAGTTTCGACGGACAGATCACAAGGGAGCCGCTGCACTCACGTACCATGACAGAGCTGGGATTTAGGACGCTGCCTCCATCTGCCACTGGGAGCTGTTTCTGGAGTCCTGGTTCCCCACCCTAGATACACATATTGGGGTCCTGTTGGTCGCCACTGAAGGGCTACCTTGGGCCCTTCTACGGACCTGGGGCCTGAGCCTGTTATCAGAGTGGTGCTCACTGCCTTGGTGGCCACAGCGCTGCCTCAAGACAGAGGCTGGGGGACTAGCCCCCTCTGGGGTGCACTCCATGAGCTGAGAGGCACATAAGCTCGGCTCGGGCTGCCCATCCCGGCCAAGCACACTGTATTTTCTCCACTGCTGCCAGAGCCTGAACATCCCCTCCCCCTGTATACCCACACACCCCTGTGCCTCCCCCTCTTCAAAATGGGAGGTACATCTCACAGATTCTTTGGGACTAGCTCCTTCTTGCTTCTCCTACCTCATCTATGACCGCTCTCACCTCTTCTTCGTCCTCCTCACCCATGCACATGGACCAATACTGAACTGAACTTTCTTGGAGTGACTGTTTTTTCCTGTTTCCTGGAAAGGCTTTCCTTCTTTCACTGACAGATCCCCGTCAGTTTCGACATTCAGCTCAGCAATCACAGTCCTCTAGGAAGGTCTCCCTGACTCCTCCAGACTAAGTTAACAAACCCTTCTCTGGGGTTCCTCCTCGGTTCTAGCCTGATGCCACACAATTTGCAAGCATCTGTCTACAGTATAGTGCCCCCACTAGGCTGCTGCCTTCTTTGAAGGTGGAGACATACCTTATATCCCTGGGCTCCCAGCCCTCAGTCCAGTGCTTGGTGTATCGTGATGTTCAGCAGTTAATGAGCTGATGGACAGATGGATGCACGCATGATGTTCCAACGAACTGACCCAGTGGACCAATTAGTGATCCCAGTGATGCTGGTCACCAGGATGTGTGTGCGTTTCAGGCTCAGGTCAGGACTACTCCGCTAACATATCTGCTCAAGCGCTAAGTATAATTTGGCTATGGGAATGTCCAATCCCCTTGCCAAGAGCCCCTTGGGATTATCAGAAAAGCACATAGCTCCTGCCATCTCAGCAGACAAGAAAATCACCAAGTGCTCTCGACTCCTTCCCTCCCCTCCCTGTCCCCAGCTCATGCCCACCACCCATCCTGTCATTCAGGACGCTCACATCCAACACATCTGTTTCTAAACTAAAATGCTAGAAGTCGCCAGGTACCCCATTGACTTGCCCTCATCAGGTAAGTAAAAGCCAGGGACAAGCAACTCACACAGAATAGGGGGGATAGGGAGGCAGGGAGATTTTTGGCAGAAGGTGGGACAAGGCCACAACTACATGGTTTTAGGAAAAGTATCTGCTTCCAATCCTTTCCCTAGCCAACGCCTCCCCACATTTCCAGCATCCCTTAGCATCTTAAAAGCCTACCCCTCCTTTCCCGTTGGGCCTGTTCCTGCTCACATTCTCACCTCCCACCTCCAGTGGGTGCTGCTGAATTAATGGCCTGCACCATGTCAGTGGTGAGGGCATCCAGTAGGCTGGTGATAAATTCCATTTTCTTCCCTTCTGGACAACCTGAAAGATAAAATGAGATTTGAAAGCAGATGCTGGGTAAAAAAAAATCAGGCAAATAACTTCCTCAACTGCCACTGTTTTCCAAACCTCACTATGCCCTTCTTGTCCAACTAAAATCTACTTTGGGGGTTTATCTATTGTTAAGACACTTCTCATAAACTTCATAATTCCTCTAGCTGCAGTCCACAAGGGATCAGCCCAAATGGATAAAGATGCTTCCCACCTCAATTCCACACATTTTTGCTAAGTACCGTCAGGCACTAAGCTAAATGCTAGAGATGCAGCAATGTGCAACACACGGAGTCCTCATCCTCACGAAGGTCACATATACTAGGACTCACGCCAGCGATCAGGTGGTCACACGAGGGCCAGCTCTGTAAGGACCAGATGCTAACACGACACAAAGGACAGAGAGAACACTAGTGGTCGAAGTGGGCTCCAGTAGACCTACATCTATCGTGACTCAAGTAGAATCCAGGCAGCCATCTAGCCATCTCTCTTGGCTAGAGCGACCTGGATCTGTCCAAAGCCTCCTCCTTTTGTTCACCTCTCTCCTCATCCAGCTTAGATTATTATTATTGAAATCTCCCTTATAAATGCTCTTGAATCCTCTGGTGCGCTTCTCCTTCCTGGCACTATTCCAACATAACCCAAGCACAGATGGGCCTTCTCACAGATATGCCTTTTCCACATCTACACCCACATAACAGAGTATTGCTGGGAAAACACCGCCTCCTAAGCGGATGGATGGTGTCCCTCTAATTCCATGATCACCAGCACCAAACAGCCTCAACACCACCCACAGTCTTTCTCTGTAGCAGCTGTTTCCCTCTCTGCTCTCACCAAATCCTCCAGCCTCAGGGTAAACACTATCTTTTCAGAGAAGCTGCAGGCTCTGAGGGAGTCTCTCTGCTCTTCCCATGGCACCTTGCTCTGCCCCTGTCCTGTGTGTGAGTTTGTATCCATGTATTTGTATAGCATCTGTCTCTCCCACTGTGTAAGCCTCAAGCGATTTTGATCACTAGGTTATACTCACTCAGCACGTGGCACATAGAAGAATCTCAATTCACATTTGTTGAGGGGTTGGCTAGAAGAAGGAAGCCTGGCCTCGGAAACGCCATTCCAGCAACAGAGCAGTGCTTGCAAACCTTGCTTGAAACCCCCTGACTTTCAAGGCCCTCTGTTTTCAGCTCCCCTCACTTTGGAATGCTGATGGGCAGCAGGAAGATGCTTCCATTACCACCAGCACTGACCTGAGTTTGAGCTGAGTCAAGAATTATGTTCCAAGTCACTGATACTTACTGATCTTATTGTAACTTACTGGCAGAGAATGCTATAAATAAGGGAGAGTAAGGCACCACAGTCATTTGGAGGCCCTGTCTTCCCGCCCGCCCCCCCTTTCCCCCTCAGGATGGCCCCGTGCCACCAGGGATCATGGCAAAAGCCCTCTTCAGGCCAGGCTCCTCAGACAGCACCCCCCCCACCCTGCTCTAAGTTATAATATCTTTTTTCAAAGCCCTGGGGAAAAGGTTCTGGGTCCCTGGAACATCATTCTAGCATAGATAAAGACTGTAGAATTGCAGGCTAGGCTGTGACCCCGATGACTGCCTTTCCAAGGGGAGAGGTTGAGGAAGGACAAACAATATGCACAAGGGCATGGGACTAATTAGAGAAAAGTCCCAGAGCAGATGTGGATCCCAAGCTCCCAACTGCAAAGTCCTGTGATGCTCCTGCCTAGTGCACCCTGCTCCATCTTACAGGAGTGTGTGTGTTGGGGGGAAACCCAGAAGAGGGAGCTGTCTGTGCAAGATGAGGGGTGGAGGGAGAGAGTGGGTGTAGGCACTGGCAAGGGGCAGCGCTGTCTCCCACCTGGCAGCTCCCTGTCCTTGAAGGGATCGTCCACCTCCACACTTCTGGCCCTGGCGTCACTCTCACAACTGGGCATCACGTAGCTGAGAAGGAACAATCATGAGTTGTTGGGGGAGCCTGGGAACTGAGCCTCCTAGAGCCACTACCACCCACCAATGACCTGTGTGGTCACTAAACCCAGAGGTCCCAGGGCTGGAAGCAAAATATTTCCTTCCCAGTAGCTGCAAGGCCATCCCAGCAACACCATGCCCACTGGACATGTTGGGGCATATCACTGAAGCATTGCAATGTCACCTTATGTCTGCGCACAGAATGTTTCTGGTCCATAAAAACTACTGACCTAAGCAGAGTGACGTTCTCCTCAGAGGTGAGCTGAGGTTCACAAAGATCACCTAACTTTCCTAGGGTCACCCAGCTAGGAAGAGACAGACCCTTGACTGTAATCCAGGATCGGGGGTCTTTTTCCCAGAACCTCATCTGCTTACAAACAGAAATATTGCTCTCCTCGTCCCTCGATTCCCAGTGGACCAGGACAGTAGAACCAGATGTGAGGTGTCAGTTCCAGGGCCCACCAAGGGACAGGACAGGCTCAGGGGCTCTTACCGTGTGGAGGTCCCGGGCAGTGGGCGCCCCGTGTCCACCAGCACGCACCAGCAGTAGCCGGTAGATTGGTGGCACTGCACAGGCTTATAGAGCCCCCCAGGGGCGCACTCGGGGATGACAATGCCCTCGCGGGGATTCTGCCGGGCCTCCTCCAGGGCACTCTGCCGTTCCTGGTCACACGAGTGGACTTTCTCTGCAAAAGAAGACACAACCTGTGGTGACCATCAGGGCTGCCTTTCTTGCCAGGACCTGGCCAGGCCCCCAGGAAATGAAGACTTGACTGGGAAGCCTCCCTGCTGCCCCCTCCGCTGCCAGGGCACACTGAGCATTCACTCCCAGAGGGTTCTAAAGCCCCAACAAGCCAGCCAGGGACTCCGGGGCCCACTCCTTATGCTCACGGTGGAGCCCTGGGGTGGAATTTTCTGGCATATTCAGAAGGGCTCTTGCTGAGCACCCCATCTAGAGATGGGTGCAGAAGCCTGACTGACCCCAGCACACTGACCAGCTAAGACTCTCCCAAGTCCAGACACAGCAGGACAGAGCCCATGGGCGTCTGCCACAGGAGGAGAGTCCATTACACATACGGCTCCCAGTCAATAGAAGAGAGAAAACAGGCCCACCAGGAAGAGGTCTGCACTCAGAGGCCTCAGGAAATACACAGACATGCTCCTGGGAGCCAGGCCCCGGCTTAGGCAGGGTGCAGTGCCCTGCCAGGCCTGGCCTGCTCAGGGGTCTTAACTGAAAATTCAACCCAGTCAACCTGCCTAACTTTACTTTCATGTTTGCTGTTTTTGTTGCTGCTGTGTTTTGTTTTGTCTTTTAATATTTTTAAACAGATAGCATTGGGTTTTCTTTTCTTGTTATAAAGAATGTTTTGAAAAATCCATAATGGCGCCAAAGTTAAACACTCCTTTCCCTAGATTTGCTCTTATGCACAAACACACACACAAATCCAGGTGCACACAACTACCATTTTCATTTCATAGTAAAAGCAATCATATCATAAACCTATATTATTATATTTATCTACTTATTTATTACACAATTTGCCTCTTGAAGAAGAGGCCGGGAAGGCAGTCTTGGGCATCCTATGACATTATCACAGACTGTTACAAAAACATCATTTCCTAGAGCAACAGTTTGCCCAGGCAACCTGGGGATTCACATTGGTCCCTGAACAACAGCACAAAGGCTCAGAATAACAAACTCAACTCAACTTTCAAGCTGCCAACCCCCTGGAAATAATGGCTCTGCTGGTGATACATGTGTGGACAGTCCAGATGTTGCTGCAAACTGCAGGTGTCCACAGAGACACCTCACAGGTAATACAGTGAGAGGACAATTAGCTGCTGGGGATTCTGCAGAGCAGCTGTCTGGCATTCCCGTTGCAGGGGGAGGGGGCTATCTTCTTGGAGGCGTAGAAATGCTGAAGAGGCAGGACGCCGGTAGGTATAGCACCTTCACATAAAGATATCATTTTGAATTTAGAAAATAAAAAAAAACTATTTTCATAATGCAGACACAGCAAAGCTAAACAATCTTCTCGGCTAAAGGAATAGGAATTTAAAAAAGCTGACAAGACATTAGCAGGGATTCTACCTGGACTGTAACTTCTACCAAAGAGCCCCTAGTGGCAGCTCAGGAGTGAGACATGAACTGACTGGGGTGAGGGCGGTCTTGGAAAAATCAGGTTGAACACCCAGAGTTTTCACTTGAGCCCCTTGGCTGGGAAGGGACCTGACACCTTCCAGGGGGTTCCGTGAGAGATTTTCAACACTCCCTCCCCAGTCCCAAGGTGACAGCCTTCTTCTCCTACCTCGTATTTCATCCATGGAAAAGGCGACAGATGAGCAAAATCGAAGGAAAACAGCTTTTTCTGACACCACATTCAAGTAACAACCTGACAGAGGCTTTAAATTAAGATCCTCTGAGCCAACATTCTAAAGCCATAAATCAGGCTGAACGCGAGACACAGAAGGAGGGGGGAGCTTCCCCTTGCAGGGCAGAGCGAATGATGGGCCTGACCTCACTCCTTGGGGATGCTGAGGCTGTGCAAACATGGCGAGGCCATCTGAGGGCTGGGAACTTGTGATTTGGGCATTGCCGATGGATTTCTGGAAGCCCTTGAAGGCTCTTCTGAAATGTTCACCGTCAGCTTCCAGCAGTTGCACCAATTTCCGAGGAGAATAAAAATTACACAAAGGCAGAAGCTTGATCGTTTGGACAAGTGGGGATAGCATGGAACTAGAAAGCTAAAAGGAAGGGTTTACATGAAATTTGCTTGCTTGGTGGTTTATTACTTTATGTCAATCCTGCAAGCATGAGGGTCCCTCTAAGAAAAGGACAGGGATTGTTTATAATAATATCATTTGTGAAGGATACAGGGACTATCTTCTAACATAAAACCATTTTTACACTATTAATGGTCACAGCAAATATTCATTGAGTGATTTGTGCCAGGAGATAGACTAGGGCTTCCCCTGCCAGGTCTCTGTGTCCATGGGAAGTGGACGCTATTTATGCCCATTTTGTCGGCTGGGCAGCTGAGCTTTGGAGAGATTCATGAATTTTCCCCAGTTCAGGCAGCCAAGAGAGAGGAGGGTTGAGGTTCCAATCAAGGGCTTTCCATAGTCAAGCCTGTCTTGCTAATCTCTAGACATAAAGAACAGCAGAGAGGGCACAATCAGGGTCGTCCAAGGCTCTCCTCTCTGTAATCACTTGCTTTCAGGGAAAAATTCATTTATGTTTATAGTGTGTCGTGCTCCCAGGCCCAGATCTGCTGCCTTACAAACCAAGTGGATAAAAAAGTGCTTGCCCAGCTTCCCTGATGGCGCATTGGGTTGAGCGCAGCACTGTGGAGCTATCCACAACCTCTGCAGCGCAGGTTCAATTCCTGGCCAGCCAGGGAGATACCCACATGGCGCGGCAGACGTCTCCTGCCTCGCCTGCTGCTCTCCTCAGCAGTGTTTTCAGTCCATCTGCCTGTTCTGCTCCCTGCTCTGTCTCTGGTGAATTCTTTCACCCTCCCACACCTCTGGCCTATATCCCAGTTCTTGTATAAATAAAATAAATCTTTTTTTAAAAAAAGTGCTTGCCCGCTGGACACAGAACAGCATCTTCTATACCAATGATTCTTTGCAGCGTAAGAGCACTGCAAATCTGGCAGTATTTTCTCTCTTTATCTCAGAACTGGAGAACTTAAAGGCAAAGTTGGCACTCTCTTGCCATGACAGAGCTTTAAAATGAATACTAATAGCTAACATCTATTTGCGTGCTTACCCCATGCCAAGTGTGGCACTGGGCACTTGTATTAATTCACTTCAAACCCATCATAACTCTCTAAGACCGATGTTATTATTATCCTCCCTGGGCAGAGGAGGACCCAGACACCCAGACACCCAGACTAGCTATGCAAGTCCCTCAAGGTCATATAACTGCAGTGACAGAGCAGGGATTCCAGTCCAGGCAGGCAGCAGGGGCTGTGCTCTCCACTCGCTGCAGATCCTCCTGTCACTGCTGCAGTCTGATCTGTATCCTAGCCTGTGTTTTTCTTCTACTCCTCCTGTAGATTGCTACAAAATCGTCCCAGTAAATGGCCCCTCCCTACCATATAGGCCCCCTTCCCACTGACTGATTCACTTTTACCAATGCAGGGGTGACAGTGTATAGCCTCCAGGCCCAGGCCTTAAGAGGCCTTGCAACTTCCACGTCCACATCCCGGAAGGCCACTCTGAGACCACCATGTACAGAAGCCAGCCCAGACCACTGGGAGGTGAAAGGTCATAGCTACATGTGAGAGTGAGGTGACCTGGGACATTCCAATCCAGCTGGCCCTCCAAGGGGTCCAGGAGTGAGTTTAGGTAAACCCAGTCAACTCACAGAGACATTACGGAGAATAAATTCTTTTTTTGTAAACTATTAAGCTTGGGGGTAGTTTGTTATACAGCAAGAGGAAACTGAAACACCTAGACTTGTTCAACTCTTCATCAACTTACCCCATCAGTATTTTTGTAGCTGTCTCAGACCCTGTAGTCATTCAGTCAATTGAGCAATTATTCCTGCAGTGCTTCTCCATGGGCCATGCAAGGAGGAATCAGTATGTACCAAAGAACATAAGCTCCTTCTGTAGCTGAGGACCCAGAAGCCACAAGCCCCATTCTTGGGGCCACTGCCACCTTCTGCCCTTCTCAGTCACCTCCCACAGGACTCTTAAACTTAACAACTATTGAGTTTCTCAGATACTAAAAAGTCACCTCCCAGAATGCAAGAGAGGGGTGTGTTTCAAGGATCTCATCAGAAACATTGGTTCAGAGCAGGCAGTCCCCACAACTGGACATTTGTAGTTCTAAGACATTCAATCTCTATTTAGGAAAATTTAAGGAAGGATGACAAGATGGAAGGTCTGGCTGATGACTGAGAATGACTGGTGTCACCTGTTAACACTTGGAAGACACAAACAGCAGGGGAGAGGAGCAATCAGGGCTGTCCAGGGGAACTGCAGATAGATGAGGACATCTTCTTATACACTCACACACACCTGCCCCTGCAGTCCTATCCCAGGGAGGTGCAGAGAAAAAGTGATAGCCAGGTCACTCCCCACCTGGCAATTGGTGGTTTAAGTTGAATTCACAACCCTCTGACTGCTTAAGAGAAGAAACAGTGGAAAAGCATCCTATGGAAGAAGTGGAACATCTCCAGCCCTTGCCACCAGGAGACACACAGACCTCCCACCACCGACCACACATCACAGCAGAGCACAGCAGGACAGAAGCGGAGCAGCGCTTCAGGGAGGGACAGCAGAGAACCAAACTAAAGCCTGTCTCCAGGCTCAGGGTGGAGGGCCCTGCGTGTTCAGCCAAAAGAGGGCAAGCAAGGAGAAGACTCTCTCGGCATGGCTAGCCCCTGCCTCTGGGACTCCAGCCACGCATGGTAATTAGGAGCCCAGAAAATACAGATAACCTAAATCCTCAGCTAATCCCCAGTCTTGATTTTAGCTCAGAGTTTATCCCTTTGTTCTGGGAAAATTTCTCCTTTATCATCTTTTTATGTTTTTTTTTTCCTTTACTTTTTCTTTTCGACACAGATAGCCAAAAAACATAAACATTAGAGATCTGAGTTTCAGATTCCTGGGCTGTTCTTTCTGGTTGCTGCTTTCCAAAAAAGAAACTGCTGAAGGAAAGAGTAGACAGAAAA